CCTTTGACCTGAAGGAGGGCAGGGTTAGATGGGATATTGGGAAGGAATTCCTGGCTGTGAGGGTGGGGAGGCCCTGGCCCAGGTTGCCCAGAGAAGCTGTGGCTGCCCCTGGATCCCTGGAAGTGTCCAAGGCCAGGTTGGACGGGGCTTGGAGCAACCTGGGCTAGTGGGAGGTGTCCCTGCCCATGGTGGGGGGTGGGACTGGATGGGCTTTAAGGTCCCTTCCAAACCATTCCAGGGTTCTGTGACTAGGATTGTTCTGTTCCCATAGCTCCAGGAGCAGAACTGCTCTCTGGTCTGGGTGGGAATTCAAGGCAGGGTGACTGGGATACTCCAATCCAGAGCAGGGGGAAAGGGATGTTCTACAGCTTCCTCCCTGTCCAGACTAAAAGCCAGGAGCGCCCTGTGACCCTCACATCCAGTCCAGGGCTCCCTCACCACCTCCCCAGGCAGGGTGACTATGAAACATAAACTCTAAAATAGCATTTTAGAGTGAAATGTTATCCCAGCACCTCTGAAAAGCCTTTGTTTTGCACCCAGAAACTGTGGAAACACATCAAGCACAAGTATGAGAACTGAGCAGCTCAGCAGCAGGAGCCAGGAAGGAGCAGGGAAGGATTTGGCCTCCTGAAACTGGGAATGGATTCCTGATGGAACAACTCCAAGCCAGAGTGTATCAGCCCCCCACTGAGCTGATGTGAGGCAGGATGGACTCAGGGGTGCTGCTGCTGCTGTTCTTGACTCACGGTGTTCAAATAAAACTCTGGTCCTTGTCTCGTGTGTGTGTGTTCACCTCACCCATCCTTTGGCTTCCTTGGGGCTCCTCCTTCTCCAGGAGATGGAGAGTGGTTCAGTGCAGCCCCACTCCTGAGTTCCAAGGCATTGGAAGGAATCACAACCTCCTAAAAATGGTTGGAAAGGCTTGGAAGCACTTACAGAGCTGTGGTTTAGTGACAACCCTTGGCCTCTGCCTGAGGAGCACCTGGAGAACCTTGTCTTTCTTCTGGCCTGTTCACAGAGAAGGGGCTTAAAATCATTTACATCATCTGTGGTAGGTCCTGTACAGGGCTGGGGGAGGTTCCTGGCCCCTCTCCCTGCACTAACAGTGGTAAATCTGCCCAGCACTGGCCCCCTGAGCTCTGAGCAGGCTGAGTGTGCCCAGCACTGCTGGGCTGAAAATGGGGGGGTGGGGGGTGGTCCAAAACCTCCTCAAAGGGGATGTGGATCCGTTCCCTGATTATTTCTGTGCCTTCTGGCTCTTCGGATGGCTTGAGGGGCAGAAGTCCTGTAGGTTTGTGTGGTACCACCAGCCTGCCCCCACCCTGGGATCCGAGGGGAGCTGCTGGCAAGGGAGAGGAATTGGTCTGTTCCCCCCCAGCAGCTCGATCAGGGGAGTCATGGAATGGTTGGGATGGGAAGGGACCTTAAAGATGATCCAGTTCCATCTCCCTGCCCTGGGCAGAGCCATTCCCTCCTCAGCAGCCTCACTGAGGAGCCCAGCCCTGACTCTGACTCTGTCAAACACCTCTCTATTCCCAGGAAGGGATGTTTGGGTACTGTTTGGGGTAACGATCCAGTTAATCACTCAGCTCTCTTGGGAGATCTGGCTCACTGATTCCTGCTCTTCTCCCTTCCCCAGCCCAGCAGCCACATCTCTCCCTCTTCCCTCCGTTTTCCCTAATCAGGAGGAATTTTAGCCACAACTGGGGCAGAGCCCGTTAGAGCCAGTGCTGGGGGCAGCAGCTTTATTGGCTTTGCAAATGGGCACCGGGGGGAAACATTTACTCTTAACACACTTAAAAAACATCGTGTTTTTAGAGCAAAACCCAACCCCAGCTGTGCCAGTCCCAGCTGTGCTCTCTGGAGCAAGGGGAAGGTTTCAGCGTTCCTGGGACAGCCCCAGCCCGTGGTGCCAGCTGGCTCTGCAGTGCTGCTGCTCCACGCTGAGCAGCTCAGAGAGAGGTGCAGCTTCTGAGCAGCGGGAACCAAAGCTGAATGCAGGATGAGGGGGAGACAGCACTGCAGTGGGCAGCAGGGAGGGGCTGAGCCCCGAGCCCAGAGAGCAGGAGCTGCAGGAGAGCAGAGTTACCCTAGCAGGGGATTGCCCTGGACACAGGATTTGGGGACAGTGGTGAGTGCAATTCCGTTTTTCCTCTGCCGGTCATCAGGAGGTTTGAGAGAAAAATCTCAGAGCACTCAGGACTTCACCTCCTGTTGTGGCAGTGGCAGTTCTGCTGCATTTGTACTGCTCTGCCAACAGCCCCACAGCAGCTCTAGTCACACCCCTTGGAGTTAAACCAGGCACCAAGGTCTGTCTAGAGACCTTACTGCCACCTTACTACCACTTTACTACCACCCTGCTCCTGCTGCAGCTCTGGGATTACCCTGGATCATCACCCCCTGCTCATTTTCTCAGCGTGGGGGGTGACAGCCACAGGCACCTCTGCAGTTCTAGAAAATACAGGGTGGTGGAAGATGCCACTCAGGGCAGATAAACCAAGTCAATTAATAAAGCAAAGGCTAATTGGTTGCCAGGAAGTTCATCTCCATGATAAAGACAGCACTCCAAAACATCCCAACGCTCCATGACAACTGGAACAACTTTATCACCAGCTGAATCGGGGATGCCCAGGTAGAGTTGCAGCCACTGCTGTGGCATCTGAGCACCTCACACACAGGTCACCTGGTGATTTCTGTGTCTCCCTGCCCAGGGAACAACTCCCTGACAAAATCCAGCCCTCGGGAGGAGCCCCTCAGCAAGTCACTCTCAGCTCCCAGCCTTGCCCCAGCAAAGGGTGGTGGGGGCAGTTCTGCCTCACGGGGTGGGACGGGGGGTTACTGAGGAAGCAGCTCCCGGGGACTCCAACCTGCTGCCTTCAGCCTGGATTCCACACCACTGGCATCCTGCTTAGCATTAGATCCTCATTCTCCAGCATCTTTTGTCTCCGTGGCTTTGGGTAAATCTCATTACACTGAACCTACACAGAGCAGGGAGAGAATTTCCCCACCTGCAGATCCAGCACTGAGAGGCCTGTGGAGGTTCCTCTGAGTTACAGATCAATCCTGTCTGTGAGAGCCTAAAACACCACCTGAAACATCTCAATCATTTATTTGCCATGGTCTGTTTTCACAGGCCTCACTCAAGGGACAGAAATCTATGGCAAGGTCTTATTCCCCTCAACTCCTGTGGGTCTGTCAGCAGTAGGAACAGCCTGAGCAGTTCCCTGCCAGCATGGAGCCATGCCAGGGAGGGCTAGGTTGGATCTCAGGCAAAGGTTCTCCCCCTGGAGGGTGGTTGGGCACTGACCAGGCTCCCCAGGGCAGTGGGCACAGCCCCAAGGCTGCCAGAGCTCCAGGAGGGTTTGGACAATGCTCTGAGGGACAGGGGGGAATTGTTGGGGTGTCTGTGCAGGGACAGGAGCTGGACTGGATGGCCCTTGTGGGTCCCTTCCTTGGGATATTCTATGATTCCAGTTCAGGATAAGGCATTTCAGTGGAGCAGAGAGCTGGGGGCTGTCCCAGGGAGGCCACGGAGCCCCCGGGAGCACCAGGGAGGGCACAGGGATCAGTATGAAAATAAAACTCTGCGAATTATAAATAGTACAAAAGGGAAGGAGGGGCTGGTGCAGCCTGTCCGGTGTATTGGGTGCAGCCACCAGCACACACGTGTGTGTCTGTGAACTGAGGAGACTCAGGGCCTGCTCCTTCCCGGGAACAGGCAGCGCTCCCACAGGGAACGCCGCTCCACGCGAGCTGCAGTGCCAGGTGTTGAACCAGGACATCCAGCCCCCTGAGCACAGGGAATGCCGAGGACACTGAGCCAAACTCCCGAGCAGGAGGCTGGGGACGGTGCCACCCCCGGCCAGGAGTCCCTCAGGAGGGGATCATGCCCTTGCTGCGCTTCCTGTCGGCCATGGCCCGACGGTTGTGGTTGGCCCTGGTGCTTTTGTTCGCCTCCTTCTTCCTCCGCTCCTGCACCGTCTCCCGGTTCTGCCCGTGGCCCTTGGCATTCCCAACAACGGCAGAGCTGTCATGCTTGTACCTGCAGGACACAGGAAAGGACATCACAACGAGCACATGGCACAGCTGGGGACAGAATCCCACACCCCCAAAACACCCAGTGATGAGGAGTTCAGCCCTCAGGCCTTGACTCGTCCCAGGGATCCACAACAGCCCAGGATCAGCATCAGCCACACCACAACTGTGTCCTTCGACACACTGAGAGCTGAACACAGCTCTTAAACTGCCCCAAATCCCTGCAGGAGCTGTTGGAGCTCTGGAAGCTGTGCTCTCCAAGATCCTGCCTTGCAAAGGGTTCTGCTGCTTGTGATAAAGGGCCTGGAATGACAGGACAAGGGGGAATGGCTCCCACTGCCAGAGGGCAGGGATAGATGGGAGATTGGGAAGGAATTCCTGGCTGTGAGGGTGGGG